TACCAACATTCAGTTTCTGTATCGGTGAGTAGTGTGATATTCTCACTGGGGTAGTATAGCTCACCCTTTCATTAACTATTTCAGATCAAGAGGATAAAGAACTAGATCTCAATCGACAAAAAGGTTGTAAATAGTTCATCACCCGGACTCCTTTCAAAAGTCGTCCTAGAATACTCAGTTATTTGTCTTTGTTTATTTCTTTGATTTTAGTTTATTCTTTTAGAATGGACAGTTTTGTAGGCTTATTGGGCATTCTAAATTATTGTATAAAGAATGTAAATCCTAAACTCTATTATTTCGCTTCCACATTTAATTTATGACTTTATTTCCTTTTTAAGTTTCGGGTCTTTACAGTGGTGGTGAATCTTTTTAATATATGAATATTATTAGTCATAGGTTATTATCCTGAGTTCTACTTAGTCTATAGTGATACATAAATTACAATTACAGAAAATACAAATCATATCGAAATACTATAGGGAATGCAAACTTAGGTACTAATATCTTAAATGGGAATACATGCTTACAACTATCTAAACACATCTTTATTTATGTCCAACAATATATGTAGTAGGCAAGCATAACTATATTAATGAGCACATATTTTGATGTAGTCTTCGCACTTTTATTAAAATTTTAGTTGACTAATATAATTTATAAAGTGAAATTTTATAATACAATTAATAATATATGATATTTTCCTAATCAAATCACCACAATCTTTTTCTCTCGCATATGAAAAATAGATAGGATATTTGAAATATATTTACACATACATATAATATTAAGAAAGAAAGAGAAAGGAACAACAACCTAGAGCAAGAAATCCATTAAATTGCTGAATGAGAAATGAAACTTGATTGCTTTATTCTTTGCTTCACCTGAGCAACAAGAGTTTAGAGTTGTACAAGGCTTTGAACATAAAAAGAAATTCCTTGATCCCAGTTTTATTACCTTCTCATCTCTCTTCAAACCTGTACCACAAACCAATTCATATATGCACCCCACAAATATTAAAAACAACAAACATATATATATATATATATATATATATAAAGCACCAAAAATATATTTTACCTTTGTAATTCTCAATTTAATAACTATTAGTAAAAAAGGGTAATTCACAATTTTTAATGTCATCAGGTAATTTCATAGTCACACTTCAAATTATACCCACTATGTGGGAGTGTCACAAAAAACAGGTTGATTTTTTTACATCACGAACTAATTTATTTTAAAAAAATTCATATTAAAAAATTTACTCTTAATTTACATCTTTCCTAATTAATCTCTTAATCATATTACTTATCTATATACTAAATTAGATTCAATTTTACTAACATCTTAGCTATATATTAAAGTTATAATTTTATGTTTAATTGATGTGAATTTGAATCAATTTATTAAAATATATAAATTCCTCTCAAAAATTTACTTCCACTGTAAATTTGTAACAAAAACGAACTTACTCTCCAAACTGAACTGCGAGTAATGAAGCTCGAAGAAATTGGGGTCAATGTGTTTCAACAGAGGCCGCCTCTTCTCCTTCACATAAATCTCCATGGCCGCCGCTATCAACTCCCTCACTGTTTTCTCCGGCGATATCAACACCTGCACTGGCCCAATGCTCCGCTCCATATTCACGTTCACCAGCACCTTCGTCAGCCTCAAACCCCCGGGGTCCTTTCCCACCATCCCTGACGGAGGCGCTAACATTAACCTCCTAGGCGGCGCCGATATATGGCCTCCTTGCGCGCGGGCGAAGTCAGCATCGGCGCCGTGCCTTTCCTGAGAGGAATTCTGTAAGGACCTCTCGGATCCCGCCGGGAACCGGCCGGAGGCCCAACTCCGGCGAATCGGTGACCGAGAGATCATAGTAAGGAAAAAATATATATTGAAGAAGTGTTAGGATTTTGAAATTTGGTGTTGAGTTTTCATTGATTGATTATGGTTAACATGGAGGGAAAGAAGGAAGTTCGTATGAGTTGAAGGTGAGTGAGTGAGTATTGAGTTTAGTTGATATTGTTGTTGGCGTTTAGGTTTTGGAGTTTTGCAGGTGATGAGCAGAAGCGGGAAATTTCCGGGAAACTGGACTTGTTTGGAACTGCCTACGAAAACATATCTCTTTCTTTTTAAAAAAAAAAAAAAAAAAGGTACGAAACATAATTTGTATTTATTACGTTAGTTTAATAAAATATTCTAAAAAATGAATCATATTTGGATAGGATAATTATTACGTTTATATTTTTTATAAATATATTATTTTATTTTTTATAAATATATTAATTCGAATTTCTTGTTATAAATATATTATTTTATTTTTTTTATAAATATATCAATTCTGAGTTATATTGTCTCTCATGTGTATGTTTTTTTAGAGATTCTGATATTACTTATAATTTTATGGGTAAAAATAAAATTATCTTTTTGTATCAATTTTCATGTCCTGTTTTATGATTTATAAATTAGATCAAAACAAGTTAATTTATATACTACTACTTAATTCAATAATTATTATATTTATTTTATTTTAAAATACGTAAGTTAAATCTTCTTTATATTTTTATTCAAAAATTATATTATATTATATTACATTATAATTAGTATTTATATATTAATTAATAAATATATAAATTTTTAACTAAAAATAGTTATTAGAGCAGTGCTCAAATAATTTTTTAAAAAATAAAATCAAGCCCATGGTTTTAATGTAAAAGACCGCGTTTTTGTTTTTGTCAAGGAATTTGAAATTATATAATACTATTTTTAAATAAAAATTATATGTTTTTTTTTCATATTATACTTAATTATTTTAGAATAAAATATTTATTTAATTAACATTAGATAAAATAACAAATCAAATTGCAAAACAACAGTTTTCTTCTTCTTCCTTTTTTTTTTTTTAACCCCCTATTTCCTTCAATCATTTTCCACGAGGTGAATGTGATGTTAAAGTGGCTTTTCACCAAGCTCTCAACTTCAGATCCAGCTTAAGTTTGAATTTTGTTCAATCTCAATTTCTTTTAACACGATTTTTTCAAGACTTAAAAATTATTTAAATTGAACTCGAGCCAATATTTATATAAAAAAAAAAGTTAATCTCGATAATAAAATATTTAACTTAATTTGACTTATCGTAATCATTATTATTAGGGCCAAAAGATTTAGTTTAAAGCACATTATTGTGGAAAGTGATTATCCAATAATTAATTACTCAAATACTTATTCTGATGTAATTTTTTATAAATAATAGAACCAGATTCAGTATAATGAACTTGATAATTAATTTAAGTACTTAATTAATTAACATCATAAATATTTAATATTCAATTAAACACCTAACTGCTCCAAAATAACCTATTCTCTCCTAATTTTTATCAATAAAGTTTTTTTTTTTTAAATTTAATTATGAAAAATTAATTAATTATTTTTTGAATACAATATATTTTATATTTATGTTTACATTATGTAAAAGTGAAAATTTCAACCACCAAGTTGAAAATTAGAAAAATAATGTCTGTGACCAAAACGTGAAAAATTAAATTAATATTTTAAAATACACCACAACTGATGTAACATAAATGAGTAGAATTATTTTTTTAAGTGCTTTCAATTTATTAGATGGCCCCGACTCAGAAAAAGAAAATAAACAGCCATAACGAGTCTGAAGAGCTATTGACTTCTTGGGATTTTTAATATGTTTTATAAAATAATAATTTTACGTCTAAGCATATTATATTATAATAAAACGTAATTAAATCATAAATAATGAAACAGTGATTTTTATCATACTTTAAAATATCAACTAACATCTCTAATATTATAAATTCAAATAAGTAATATTAAAAATCTCTAAATTACAAAATAACGAAAAATGGGTAATTGGGTAAAAGTCTTGCGGATTAATATAATAAAAATACTGAATTCGAAATCAAATTTATTAAGAGCAACACAAGTAAATACACTGCAATGCTCTTTTATCTTTATAAAATAAAAACAAAAATTATTTTTCGCAGATCAAGACTTTCCAAATTTTGTGGGTTACTCTTACTATTTTTCTCACTTTGCGGACAATAAACGATGAGAATAAGAAGAATGGTGGTGGATTCATGGGCAGAGCAGCCGAATGTGGTCTCACCCCAATACACGTTTCTGAAACTAAAGAATTTGATGCTCCTTTGTTACCACTCCTCCGAAGGAAGAAACTTCTGCTCCCCACATCTCCTATCCTCTCACTTTTATTCAAACCTATACGTATATTCATCATCACAAATTCATCAATAACATTCTTAATTCAACAAATCATTTATCGTTCTAGTGGTCTTGATTCAAACCTTGAGTTATACATAATTTGTCATTGAGTAACTGATAAAAACTTTCTTACTATACATACATTCATGAAGAGCTAAGCACCACCACAAATCAAAATATATACCGTTGTATGTGTATGCTAATATATAGGGACATTGTGGAACATCCTACATAGTTATGTACTAAAAAGTTTCACATGTCCCTTATGAGTCTCAAAAACAGAATTTCTTTTCAACAACTCACTAATTTTTACATCCGAACACCTGATAGAACTATAAGGAAAGTTATGACAAAAGACACGCATGTTACTAGTATAAGCACATCAAGTCACACAATTTAAGGGTAAGAGTGAGAAAACCCAAAACTTTACACTTACTTTGAAGGCTAAAATAAGAAGGATGCAACTCAAATGCTTCATCTTTATCAAGTTTGGGAGTCCGTCCTTCATCTCTATACCTTTTAACAACAAGCTTGATGATCTCCTCAACGCTACATCCCAATTTAACCATAGCCCTAATTGGCCCTGTACTTGCTTCAACGGACACATTTATCACAACCTTCGCATCTTTATTGTATCCCTGTAAACTCAAAAGTCTCTTACCTATTTATTAGGTACTAATCATTTAATAAATATGTGATATATTCACATTAATAATAACATAATTAATAATATCATAATATTAAAACTCATAATACAACTCAAATCCGCAACTTTATAGTTAAGTGTAGAAATACACATACGGATAGTTGGTTAAATGCTAATCATATTTGTTTTCTCCTAATTCCGCACTATAATTGTCCTTATTAGTAGAAAGCCTCACAATATACACGAAGCCTGAATTTCCAAATTAATGCTTGCCATGTATGCATAAAATGGAGGATGATCTTCAACGGTCAAACAAAAAGTCAGCATGATTTTTCAGTTCATTAGCGACGAAATCTGAGATTCAAAATTCGAGACCTCAGCAACGAAAAGGCTACAAAAGTAATTCAAACTTTGCTGAATTCAATTCCGACACTAATTTTTGTCTTCAATTCAAACACAATCAAATAAAAGTATTTTTTAAATAAGCATAAATATTTTTATTTTAATCGAAAGAACTCAGAAATCGCATACATATTATATCAGTGATGGTATCGAGCATATACGACAAACTATAAGCAATTGCCCCCACTCCAGACAAGCTAATCAAATCTATTTTAACGAATTTAAGAAAAACGAAACAGATCAAACAATTTCGAGATTTCAAATTTAGAATTAATCAAATTGCTCAGTGAAATTTAAAGCGGCTAGGGTAGAACAAAGGAAGCCGAGGTAAGACAGTGAAAAATCCAATAAAATAGAATTAAATGAACGGCAGATGGAAGTTTGACCAAACAAGTAATTACCTCAGAACGCAGAGAAAGAGAATGAAGAGATAATCCCGGCAAAGAAGAAGAAGACCCGAAGATGTCTGCACAGGTCTGAGTATACAAGATCCTCTCAGACTCGGACCCGAAAAGAATCTTTTGTTCCTGTTGATCATCATCATCATCGCTACTCCTGCTACTACTCGCCAATATATTGGGTTCAGATGAGCATCGCTTAAAGATCTCAATGGGTTTGGATCGATGCTTGGTGGATAATCGGCGAGGCGGAGGTAGAGGAGAGAGCCGTCTGGGCGACGGTGAGGGATGTGGCGGCCTGATGCTGTGCCTCTGAGCGATCCCACTCCTTGGAGTTCGACGCCGTCGACTGGTGTCTGACATAAACGAAAGGGAAAAAGCTGGGTAGTGCTGTACTGGATGGATTTGAAAGAGGTATTTGGGGAAGAAAGGGGGGGTTAGGGAGGAAGTTATGAAGTTCGTTGGTAGGTTTCCAGTCTCGTAACTGCCACTACACCAGCCTTTTCCCATTTTCTTTTCAATTTGAAAACAAAATTTAAATTAATTTAATGAAAATTGTTTATAACAAATTTTTTTTAAAAAAAAAAAGGTGAAAAATATAGGGTTAAAAAAAAAAAGATATTGGCCGTCGGTGGATTTTTTTAATTGGGGTAATAACCCGAGAAATTGCGGGTTGATTGTCTAAACGGGTTATTTTAATTTTATGGTGGGCCCCACTTTGCTTTGCTTCCAATTCAAATCATTAAATTTATTAAATTATGTATAATATAATAACTTTACCAATGAATGTAACTTGCAATCTGTGTTTAGTTCACGCAAGCTACTGTAATCCTGACCGTACATTTCAATATTAAATAAATAATTAAAATATACGATCACTTTACATTTTTACCATTAAATTTAACTTTATTTAGTTTTCTCAAGTTTAAACCTTTTTTTAATCAAAAAATAAAGAAAAATAAAATTTGCTTGTTTGATTATTTGTATATATTTAATCATGTTTATAGAGATTGATTTTGTGGTACCGAATTGAATTGTAATGTTTTAAAATGGGATTTGGATGTTTTAGTTTTGTGATACATTGCACTACAAACAAATACATGTCATATTATATTGTTTTTAAATTTAGATATAGTGACACTGTATCGGTATAATTATTTTCATGAAAAAATTTTATTTTATTATTTTCACCGTGAAAGTATATATTATAGTAAATTAATATTTAACTCAGAATTTTTATGCTAGATCAAAAATTAATAACTTAGCTAAAAAAAAAAGGAATTATCAATGTGATGTAAGTAATAGACATACACAAATATATAGATATATGTATAACATAAAACATACATATCAATCTCAATATTTCTGGATAAAAATTGTATTTTTTTTTTTTTAGAAATATAGATATATATGTATGTACATCAAACAGAAAATAGACTGGTTGGTTAAATGGGGTACTAGGCGCAGCTACCAAAATTTCTATATAATATAATTCCATGAAATTATCAAGAGGAAACAGAAATTTTTTTGTCAAGTTGTGTGTATTTGTGAGTGTGTTTTCCCTTGTTCTATTCTATAATTTTTCTAGTGATAATATGTTAAATGCTAAACTTTCACATTACTATTTTTAAATTTTTGCATTAGTTTTTTTGTAAAAGCCTAAACTCATATTTGGGATTCCGAGAACATAAACAAAAAATAGCATAATAAAATGATACTGAAAGTTATAATTTAGCATAAACAATTTAGAGTTTAAGATTACGTTCATGTAAAGTTTACTTAAAAAACTCAATAGGGTTATGAAAATATCCTTAAAAAGCTTAAATGAAAAAGAATAATAAAGAAAATAAATGTGGGCGACTTCTGTTCGAAACTGGGGAAGTGGAGAGGCAATCTCCTATCTAGTTTTTTTAACGTTCAGGATTCATATCTTGATCATCCTGATCTGAAATAATTAATAATAAATAGTGAGTTACATTAACTCAGTAAAATATCAATACATCACCATTTATACGAAAAATCAAATGGTTGTAGAAAACGTAAAATAATCGATGAAGCTCATTTTTAATAAAAATCGTTTAACTAAAACATTGATTTTCTCAACTCACCTGTAAGATCTTAAATATTATTTATTGAGATAAATATCAGGATAACAATCTACAACATGCATTTTAAAGGCATATAACAATTAACTTTTTATTATTTTTCAGAATAGGATTCCTATCAAATTTATCTTTATCATTTTACCTTATCTACCAGTGCCGTTGGAGGTCCATATTGGTCCCTACTACATGTGGACACAAACATTCATTCTATAATCAAACGGTCATCCTCATATCTCGTCAGGTAATGAGCATCAAAACACACAACTGCCTCAATACCCATCCAGTATGAGTATAATTGAAACAATTTCTAACCCCTGTTATAGGAATTTTCAGCTCTGTTCGACAGAGGGTAACGTTCACTGTAGGGTTTACTCTATGTACCAAGTCTGTACATTCTCTCTCAAGATACTCGATAAGCCCTTTTATTATACACTATTAATTGATGTATATCTTTTTCTTTTATTTACTATTTAATCTCAAGAGACATGTATATCTGTATCTCAATAACACATGAGTAATTAATTCACATTTTATGATAAGCACATGAAATAAAACATACATTATACTGATAAAAACCTATTAAACACACAATTGGATGACAGAACAACATGTCTAGAGAGGCCTTACCACGTTTGCTGTAGAATTTAGAACAAACATATCAAGTAAACAGTACAGTAAATAAATAGCAAATAAATAAATGTAGATAATACTGTAATAAAACTCAAACATACGTAAATTGAGCATCTACTTGCTTCATTGACAACCTGTATTTCAATCAATTAGAGGACTGCAGATTAACTAAATTTTTTATTTATTTATCAGTTTAGCTTTAATTTTACCGAATAGAGAAAAAGAATGAGAGATTTTTACACTGGGTCGGTGTCCAAAATACTGCCTTTTTTGCTACGTTTTCCGACGATTTTCGGTTCCTAAATTTCTTGGTTTTTTTCTGATAAAATCAAAAATTACGTCAAAATAGCGTGAAAATACGCGAAAAACAATCAAAAGGACAAAACAATCTCACCGGAGGTCAGCTTGGGGTTCTGGCGCAGCAACACTGTCGTGCTCTGCCACTGGGTCCCCCTTCTCTGGCGGTTTCTCCTCTCGGTCAGCCCATCTTCGGTCGATTCTCGATAAAAACTTGTTTAATTTGTGATTAGAAGATGTCTATCGACAGAAAAAGGAGAAAAATCGAGGCTTACAGGTATTTTTCGATCTCTGGTGTGGTAGCTCAGTCGGGCTACGCCGTTCTTTCCTCGCAGTTCATGGCTTTCTCAGTCACTCAGCATCGAAAATAAGTTATATGACTAAAGGGCAGGAAAAATGGGATGAATGGGAAGAGGGTACAACTTACCAGAGTGCTTTTCGGTTTTTGGTGCGGTGACTTAGTCGAGCTTTATCGTCTCCTTCCTCGTAGTTCGCAGTTGTTCTCAGTTCTCCTACAACGAAAATAAGTTATACAACTAAGGGTGGAGGAACGAGGAAAAATAGAAAGAAAAATTGCACTCACCAGTGTGTTTTGGGTATCCAGTGCGGTGGCTGGTTTCTCCTTCGGTCGCCTTTCTTCTTCTTCTCTAGCGAGGGGGTGTTGGCAAGGTTAAAATTTTGGTTTGGAAGATAAGTTTAATTACCCCCCTCCCCTCGATCTGGGCCATCCATCTGGCCCCACGTGGATTCTCCTCAGCCATCTGATCGCGCTTATTAGGAAAAAAGATCTTGGTCGTTTAATCGAAGGCGTGTGGGCCATCCAATCTCGCTTACTCGGGAAGTCAATCCGGGTTGTTTGTGCGCGCGAGAGTGAGCGTGAGCCATTGGATCACGAGTAACGCATATCGCTCGCATGACTCTCGTGTGGGGCCCGTGCTAGCGTGTCTGCCACGTGGCACATTCTGACTCGTCGTGCTGCTGACGTGATCGTCCTATTTGACTGCATTTCTCTTTTTTGCAATTTGACCTCTGTTTTTTAATTTTTTTTTTCAAATATATTCTCTCTTTATTTACAGTTTGACCTTGAAATTATTGGAAAAAGTCCAAAATCCAATTTTCTCAAGAAAAAATAATTAAAATTAAAATATTTAATTTTTATTATTATTTTAGAGACTAAATACATTATTTCGAGTCTAATTCTCGGAGTTTGGAAGTTACAATTTATTTACTAATTTTTTATTTTAAAAAATACGCTTATTATTTATATTCTGAAAAATATTAATGAGTTAAATATGTAACTATTTTTGATTAAATAGATTTTTATGTTAAATATTCATATGACATTTGATGTATGAAAATAATTTAATTTTAATTTACTTTTAATAAAAAAAAAGAGAGCAAATAATAAAAGAATAAGAAGGTATAGGTTCCACTTATGTAAGATGGCACGTAGACATGTAATTAAACATTTTTAATTTAATATTTTAAATTTTTAACTTTTTATTACATTAAAAATAATTAGAAAATAAAATATTTTTTTTACACAACATAGATCACAAATTATATAACATAAAAATTTATTTAATAAAAAATAATTACATGCATTAACAAACATATTCTTTAAAAATAAATGAATTAAATGAAAAGAAACATTTCTCTTAAAAGGAGAAATAACAACTAAAGTGGATGTTGGAAAATGTTGGTCGACTTGCAGCCATCTTTGCTTTCCTCTCCCGTAAGAAAAAAGCTTGGATGAGTGTGAACATCGGGCGCCGCAAAATTGAATAAAAGAAAGAAAACGGGAGCTTTTAAAATATTGAGGTTGGACAAACTGGGCCGCACTTTATGATTTTGGGCCCACCAACATGTTTCCCGGCTCGGATGGATCCAATTTGTCCAATGCCTATCAGGCCCAATATCCATGTATGTACCCGACCCGGGATGAGTAATGAAAATTTCTACATGACAAGTTATTTCTAATGCGACAAAATTATATGTTATGTTATTTTGACAATACATACATATATATATATATATTTATGTAACCATGTATGCTTCAGTTTCTTCCCTTACACCGAAACTGCGAAGAGGCAGTTCTCATGGCTAAAACTAATCATGAGGCAGATAGGTTTCATTTCAAGAACAAAAAAGAAAAAGAAAAAAAAAAAACATGCAGATAAACAGCAGTGATCTCATTTCGCATGCTAACATTCATTAATTCAGTCATCATATCTGATAATGACCATACATCAACATTCACTCTGTTCCATAGTCCACGCATCTAATCATTTATCAACACATCACATCACATCCATCATCATCATCATCACATCACAATTTTATGTATTCATTTCCATCAATATCGCCCTCCATGTAATGTTACTGTCAACGGTCCCACCTTCTTGGCATTATTATGTTTTCGTATGTATATATTTACACATTTGATGAATCACAATACTCGTACGTGAATTTTCAACCATGC